ACAAATTCTCACCTCGTTTATGACAATTAACTAAGCTGAAACTCATTTCAATCGAGTTACTGTAGTGATGATATTAATTCTAGTCAATAAACAGGCATAACTACTTTTTTCACTTTTACATGCACTTTGGGTACAAAGATCTTTTGCTTTTGGTTAAGAGGCATTCACTATTATATGGTTAACAATTTTGCAGCTACTGAAGTGGTCTAAGATATGAATGACCTCTTATTTCGAGGAAAGTCAATCGCTTTGAATTGGTTTTCTGAAGTGAAGTGGAATTCATAAACATGCCTAAGCATACCCACGCATAATTCCTAGAGGGCTTGCCATATTACAAGTGTAAACAATCATCTTGTTCTATAATCACTCGCTTTATATCTTTGAATCTTTTCTTGTTCTTAGTAACTGATTCAAGAACTGTATTAGTTTATCATCTTATACTTGGTAGTAGTACCCATATATCATGTGCAGATTTATGCGTCACGTTACATGGCTATGATATCCACTCACTGTATTGTGGTACTAGACCGCAAATGCAAATCAATTGAGTAATGATCCCGGCTTCTGAAATTTAACTATAAATTCTGAAGGTACTCTCCTTGCTGAAAAGTTTTTAAACATCAGCAGCATGCAGTGAGAATTGCCGTGACTATTCTATCTGTTTTCTCAGATCATTGACACATGTTAAGCTCTTTGCATGGGCCAAATTCTCTTGAGTATTTTCGAGCATCACTGCAGAACTTTTCATACAAATTTTTTTTTAACATCAAAATCAATATGAGGTATATTAGAGAATTTGTATTATGATATCATCTTATTTAGTATTTTTTCCCCATATTTTATAGCTAGATGCTGATGGAAGCCTAGAGTCTGTATTTCCAGCAAAACGTCCTTCTGTTATTCTCTTCATTGATAGATCATCTGGCTCTTCAAAGCTTAGAGGAGAGAGCAATTCAGCTCTGCAAATTCTTAGGAAGTTTGTAAAGGACAACCATTTATTCGGACAGATTGTTTGGGGACAAGATACCAGTTCTTCTGAGAGTGCAGGACAAGTTTTTCCCAACACTTGGAGCCAGATTATCACTGGTCACTCATTTCAGCATAGCATTAAAGATTCTGTGACTCCTAAGCTGGTAAAGTTCCAGGATAATATGGCCATTATGATTACAAACGAAGGGAAAAGTGTTGCCCTGGATGCAACTGCTGATCCTCATGGCAATGCTCTGTATAATATTTTGGCTAATTTGCTTGACCAGAAGAAACTTGACATGGGCACAAAAGAAACAAAAATTAGTCTCCTGGCAAAGGAAGTAGGGTTCCAGCTTTTGTCTGATGATTTTGGAGTTCAATTAGCAGAGTCATCACCGTCACAGATAGTCAATGAAGACCCCCAATTGAGCTATGTTGATGATAATTCTCTTCCAAGTTTGGAGGATCAAACCTCTACACTACCTCAGAAATTTAAAGAAGATTGTGTGTCGAGCAATAAAGTTTTATTAGAGTCTGATAGTATAGCCTCAGACAATGATAAGAAGCAATCTGAACATCCAAATACCGGAATTTGTCTTCCCCAGAACCAGGAAAGTAGCATTAAAGAATTTACTACAATATTAGCTAAAGAGTTGGAAGCTGACATTTGTACTTCTAGGGGTACACAAGATAATAAGGATGATAAGGGTTGTAAAAGAGTTGTTTTGCAATCACATACATGTCCTGCTAAAGATTTGGAAAAGGAATCACCTAGTTTAGAGAAACTCTTTGAGGAAAAGAACATCGATCGGGTTGATTTGACAGATATTACTTCTGGAAAGTATTTGGTGGGGAATAATGCAGTTGAAGCTATAAAATCCACAAGAGAAGGATTAGGGGATTGGCATGTTGAGCAACTACCTTTTAAGGATTCGTTTTTCTTTTCTGATGGTGGGTATCAGTTGTTGAGATCCTTGACAGGAGGGGAAAAGATTCCTTCTTTGGTAATAGTAGATCCAGTTTCACAACAGCACTATGTCTATTCTGAGGATATGGGTATCAGCTATTCTTCTGTAGTCAGTTTCATAAAAGAATTCTTGAATGGAAACCTCACCCCATATCAACGCATATCATCTCCTTTTACAAGTTCAAGGGAGTCTCTGCGGCCACCATTTGTGAATCAGGACTTCCATGAGGTTGATTCTGTTCCACGAGTGACCGTCAATACCTTCTGTGAACTGATAGTTGGTTATAAACCTTGCAAAATGGGAAGTGAGTCAATTAAGCTATCATTGTCTCAAATTGAAAATTTTGGACATGTCTGGAAGACAGATGTTTTAGTGCTGTTCTGCACTTCATATTGTGGATACTGCCAGAGGATGGAACTTGTCGTGCGTGAAGTGTATCGAGCCTTTAAAAACTTTACAGCTATGTTGAAGAGGGAATCCAAAACCTTTGGTTCACATCACAGTCAAGGTATTTATTTATTTATGTCTATGATTGACATTGAGTTTCCTCTTGATTTAAGAAGACAATATGTTTTTTTTTTCATAAATTGCTAGTCATTAGCAAATTAAGACGAGTATTTGTGTAGCATTCAGGGTCAAATGGATATGACCTTTCAAAGTGACATATAATGGAATACATTAATAGAAAGCACGCCAGATGTTTCACCCCACATCATAGGCTTAAATAAGTGTGTTGGATAGAGTTTTTTTTAACTTTATATGGTAAGTCTCAGATTTTATTCTCAGGGGTGTCTTTTTGAAAGTGAATCATGGGTTGAAGGAGGAAGGTAAAGGAATGAAATAGAAGGGGAAAGAATTCAATGACAAAGAGAAGGTAGTTGGTAGTTGTGAAAAATATTCACAATTCCATCCCAGTGAAATGGCCCTAACTAGTAGAAGATCATACCTAACAATTAGTTGGAGGCTTAAAAATTTTCCTTCACTGCAGGTATGCAGTAGGGGAGTAACTTTGCATTCTAGGTTGTTACTGCTATGTGAAGTGTGGGAAGTGAAGTGTGGGAAACATACTGTCAGTATTTTGTTTCAGAAAAATTCTGTAATGTCCTTACATGTAAAGTAGATAAAATACATGGTGTTTTCTGCAATCTAGCCATTTTTCAACATCACTTAGATGCTTACCATCTTTTGCTCTAGTGAACAGATGGGGGCGGGTTGCAAATTAAGACCACTTTAGAACTTGCCCCAAATTATCTGCACATTCCACTTTATATAGCAACTCGAAGAATGCGTGTACAAAGAAAAGTTGTAGATGAGAATGCCAGTTAAATACTCATCTTTCAAGTTATTTCCACTAACCTATATCATGTGACTTGCTAGCTTGTGAAACAAAGGTCACATAAAGTGGTAGTCCTACATTGTAGATAAAACTGCTACTTAACTGTTAAAGGGAAGCACATAACAAATAGTAGATAAAACTGCCAGTTAACAACTCATCTTTCCAAATTCATGAACAGATGTAATGCAACTTATGAAAGCAAGGTCACAAGTGTCAACATACTGCATCCAATGCTAAGAGAGTAATATGCTTCCGTATATTGGGAGGGGCAAAGAGATGGGAGGACCACTGTAAATTCAAAGATAATTAAAACGCTAAACACATGGATTAGCGAATTGAAGTATGGTTCAATAATCACAAAATCTTAGGGTCAATAGACCCGTCATATTTGATTTTGTAGAAATGTAGGCATTCCTAGACAAGCGTACCACATCCCATGTTTTTCACTTTGCAATATAATTTATTCCCATCTGGTAAAGTTACCTCCACTCCTAAAGCTTACATTCAACTATTCATTAGAGACCACACATCCATGTAATTTTAGGCATACATGTCTGTTCACAGACTTCATTATCTGTGAATGCAATCTTTCATTATCTGTGAATCCAATCTTAATACACATGGCATACACAACCAATGTACTCAGAAGAAGCCCAGTGAGACCCATTTAGCTTTAGCAAGCCTCATAATTTATGAAGAGGACCAAGAAAAGATTTTCTTTTACCCATTGCTGAAGGTGGTTCTTGTACTTTAGAGTGTTATTCTTCCATGACCTAAAAACACCTTCCATGATAGCACAAGTGCTCCCAATGATTTCAAGAATGTTAACACTTACTCAAGGGTAGCGAATCTTTAATTGTATGGCTCCGGAGGGAATTGAACTCACCAATTTCTTTTTCCTAATGGCGGTGGAAGGTTAAGGGGTCTGAAAGACATTTTAACTCAATGTCAATGTTAGTTAGAGAGGGAATACTCATATAAGGTAAGGAAAGACGAGTCTCCCTCTTGGCATCCCAAATATCATGCTTTGTTAATTTCAAGATTTTGAAATTATTAGAAATGTTCAAGAAAAGTCCCATAAATAGTGGTTGAAGTGCTAGACTGCTAGGCTATTCGAGGTGCAATTTAGAGCTCAACGGGGGATTGAATCTTGTGAATTAGTTTTAGGTTAGCTGCTCTCTGTGGCTAGGCAGAACCTTGGTCCCCTGCAATTCTGAATCTCCCATCTTAGGGTCTTTGTGCTTGATTAGGGAGACAACTTCCTCTGGTGGAGAGTCGGAAACCGTTATTAATTGCAGAAGTACTATGCATGTTCTATCTTATAGTTTTGTTCTTGTGTATATCATTGAAATTATGTACTTTATTTACTTCCATTACTTACATGCTTTTTGGAGTGCTATGCCTGTTCTATTCTTATGGTGGTGATAATTTTGTCTAACAACATTGCATTTGCTAATCGTAAACAGATAAGGACGAGGATACTTTGACAAATGGACTACCATCTATATTTTTGATGGATTGCACAATGAATGACTGTGGTACCTACCTAACACCAATCAGCAAGGTATTTCTTCGCCAAAGTTAACTATTGGTAGCGATCAATCTGAACTGCTAATCTTGACCAGAACAACTGTCTAAACAAAAAGACTTGGGCATTTTTTTTTTTCCGCGCGTACAAAATTCGGAGTTTGAATAGAAAGTAAACATTCTAACATCAATTAGCTTTTGAGTAGATTTTCACATGGGAGTATCCAAAGTTGTTGATCTTGCTTTTACATGTGCTTGAGAAATCCTGGCAGTTATGGTGCACTTATGCACCCACCACAGTTTTGGCATGTGAGTTTGACCAAGGAGATGGTTAATTGAGTATAACCAATAAGGCTCTTTCTCCATTATGCCCATCATCATTGTGGCACATTCATTAGAATAATGGTCACTCCCATGACGTGTCTACATGAACCAAGGTTTTAAATATCGGATATCTAGAGAATATCGGATGGCCAAAACTCATATTGGATTAGGATATCTTGGTAATATGTAGGATATGTGGTAAATATCGGATGATGTGAATGTATAATACAATGTCCTAAAATGTAATATAAACCTATTTAATGAAATCTGAGAATACAGAAACAGATAAAAGTCCAAATTGACATTACAACATTTCGACCAAGCTTTTTGAGGTAGAAATGTCACTTGATATATTGGGAATATCATGATATGTTGCCTAAAAGTTGCCAAAAGTAGTATATTGTATTATGATAAGCCATTAAAAAGACATACCAGTCAACATATCAGCCAACGTATTGGCCATGCCTGGGATATATCGCCAAAATAGTGCTAAAAGTGGTAAAATATATTTAGACCATATAGTTTTGCGGCAAGCCTTCTATAGAAGGATATATCGGCCAATATACCGGGCCATGTTGGGGGATATTTAAAACATTGACATGAACCCTATCTGCTGTCTACTCTTTCTTCCTCCCTTTTGCCCTCCATTACCCCATCATCATTGCTCTTGCACTCTTTGTTTTGAATATCCCCTACATCGCTGATGTATTGGCCTATATATCCTTTTACAAGGCTTGCTGCAAAATGATATGGTCACAATATCCTTTACCGCTTTTGACATTTTTTGGGGCAATATATCATGATTTTATCAATATATGAGGTGACATTTCAGCCTAAAAGTAATCGGTTGAAGTTTTGCAATGTCGATTTGGACCTTTATTTGTTTTAAATGATTGTCTTTGATTTATGTTCAATTGAGGTCTAAATCCAAAAACATATCTGTTTTTGTATATAACTGAAAATAAGAATTAGGTTCAATCGGGACCAAATTGTTTGGCAAAAGTTTTGTGAAGAACACTGATTTTCTCTGTCGCTCCATTTGTTAGTGCATTAAGCATGGATGTCCATGATACGTATACACACATTCTGATTTGACACCCCATTATTTATTCAATATCTCTGTTATCCTTGATATCCACCATTCTATATGTAATTTTTCAGTCCGATATATCACCGACATCCGACATTATAAACACTGCTCTCACTGCTTGTGTGTGTTTTCACGGGCTTGATGCATGGGTGCTGCTAGCCTGCAATGCACACATGCACTTATTTCCACCTGTCTTGTAGTCTATGAACGCACCACAGAAGCCTCCGATATTCCTTCTCCATTTATGTGCTTTTATTTGCTGATATAGTTATCTATGTGTCTGCTGGTTTAGTTGTAACATGTAGACGCCTCTGCTCTCTGTACATCTGGAAGCGGATACTCATGAGGCTAGTTCTTCCAATCATCTCTATATGTGGATTTGCTGTAACAATGTTATATGTTGGGATAATACATATTTTCTGTTCTTCTTTGTTGATCAACAAAAGCATAATGACCTTCTCTTTCCTTTCATCAGTAGGATCCGTATGCTGTCTTCCCACCTAGATGTTAGCAGTGTTCTCAGGATCATTATTACATTTTGAATTATCATCTAGAATCAGCATATCAGGTAGCAAACTAAATCAAGGATTCTCACAAAGACTTCTTCATTTCTGTGCTACAGTAACTGGTCTGTAAGTGAAAGTTGATGTATGAATGTTAATCATGCAAAAAGTGATGTCTAAGTATCATTTTAACAACACAAAATTGCTAAGTGTATTGGGGGCAAAGTGGGCAACAATTCAAGAATATTTCATAGGTAGCCAAGTTCCCTTGCGGCACTAATATATTCGGTATAAGCATCATTACATTCTTCCTCATCAACAATGATAAAAAACATGAACAGAGAGAAATCATCACATTCTCATGCTTATTCCTTTGCAAATGCTTTTCTTGAGAGCTAAAGAGAAATGTGACGATGTGATATGGCTTGGAGGAATGTTGCCTGAGGTAGGAGTTTATATTTGCATAAATCTACTATTGAACTTATTGGGCCATATTGTTGTTGAAAGTGATGTGTCCCCTTTGTATTTCTACATTGCATGCTAGCTAAAAAATATCTTTTTTTATATACTCTTAGTCCAAATACTGTTTTTAGTTACTAACTCTTCTATGATTTTGCTGCTTCTTATACGCAGAAAGAACAATATCCTGAAGCTTGTTATTTTCCTGCTGGAGAATCAAGACTGCTATTACCTATAAGGGAGATATGTCAGTAGTTAGTATCATTGAGTTTCTGGTATCTCATGGAAGGAATTCTCACCACCTAAGCAGACATAAAGGTATTTATCTATTTTTTTGGTCATTTTCCACAGACAATCAGACATAGTTCATGGCTCAGGTGCATTCATCTATGTATAGTTTTGCATATAAGATCAGGTGCTTTGTGGAGTTATCTCTCATTTTCCTATCATGATTGTCTAAGTGTCACTGTTTGTGATGAATTAAAGATTAGATTGATTCACTTCAAGAAATTATAGACCAGCTTTTGGATTTGTTTAAATTCTTTTCAACTATTATAATATCCAAAGCCATGTTTATATGTACATCTAATATTTTTTTTAATGTTTTATTCACCATCTCCATAATATGCCCTGTGCCCATATCATGAAATTTGGGAATTTGACGTGTCCCTCTACCCATATTGTGTCACGGCCATGATCCATATTGTAATGGTGTAACCTTGGATGCTACATTACATAGAAAATATGTTTTCTAGATGCTCAATGATTCTTCTCCTTGAATATTACATGTTTGCCAAAGTGCCATTGAAAATTTCTTATTACACAAGAAGCAAAAAATGATTTTAAATGATGTAGGAATTACATTCATAGAATGTCATTCTTGACAGTTTTTCTTTAGATTATTTCTTTGTAAGTCTCAGAAATGTGTAATAACCCAAAATGCAATATCAATATTTATTATGGGTATGCTAGATGGCCTTTATTAGTAGTTAAAGATATTGTGTTGTTTTCTTTATGTTTATTCCTTTGCATTCCCGTCTTTGGATCAATGCTGTAAGTAACTTTATGTGCCTTGATCTTCCGCCACTTCTTTATTGAATTCATTTCCTAATTAGAATTGATATGTTTTTAGACTTTTGTATCCACATACACCCAATGATTTGATTTTTAGGAGTGCCCTTTTTAAGCATAACTTTCTTGATTTAGGGTTTCTGTGGATGCATACACAGAGTGGAACAAAGAATTCTGCCACATTTTATGACGAATCTTCTCCAGCTTATGAGGGAGCAACTTTTGCTAGAAAAAAGTACAATTCAATTCCTCTCAACACAGCAGAAAAAGAAGACGAACATGATCTGCTCCATGTTGAATCACATAGGTCGAACAATTTGCACAATGGAGGTCGCCATGTAGTTGCAGGGTCTGTTCTTGTTGCTACTGACATTCTTCTCAATGCAGCTCCATTTGACAATTCCACTATTCTTATTGTGATGGCAGACACAGCTCAGGGCTTCCAAGGAGTGATCACAAACAAGCGAATAGAGTGGGATGTTTTTAAGGAACTTGACCAACAACTTGAGCCTCTAAAGATGGCTCCTCTTTTCTATGGTGGGCCAGTCAGGACTCATGGTCTTCCTCTTGTTAGCTTAGCCCAAAAGCCTGTGGAGGGTTATGTAAAAATTACTTCTGATATTTACTTCGGTAATCCATTGGCCACAAGGTTAGCTATTGAAGGGATCCAATCAGGAGAACAATCTGCCAGTGATTTTTGGTTTTTCTTAGGCTATTCGAGTTGGCGATGGAATCAACTTTTTGATGAGTTAGCGACAGGAGCATGGTATTTGAATGAGATGGAAATTGGAAATATAGACTGGCCAGATGGGTGAAGGTGCACTTGTCTGTGTTGTAACGTGTGTTGTAGAAACCTATGGAGGTACTCTTCTGAATATTTTTCACAGATTATAAAATACTGTTAAGAAGATTGGTGATCCAGCGAAAAGGGAGTTAAGCAGACTGGCACGTAGAGGTGGAGCTTCCCTGTTGCATTTGCCTCTTTATGGTCATCTCCCTCTTAAGTTTTGATTATAAAAAACAGCTAGTCCTTTAAAAAAATTCCATCAGATTTTAGCCTACAACATGTTTCTATAGAAGATTTTGTGCTCACCACCAGTAAATTTGTGTCATTGATATCCATAACTTCTACATTGTAATCAACCTTTGTGCCCTTGATTTAGCACAGAGTCGCAAACATATCCTTGTCTATCTTTAGTAAATTTTATATGAATTTATACAGTGAATTAGTATGTACTAGAGGTAAATCTCAATAGTTCTTGTTGTAGTGCAACACGTAACTTTTTCTGTACATTATTTACAGGAATAAAATTATTGAAGATTCTGTACTATTGCATTACAAGATGTTTATCTTTTAACATGTGATGATTAACATTTCCATCTAAATCTGCTACGAATATTTAGAGGATATAATACATAGGTCTTTTGGATTCTTCACAGTATATAAAAGTTGGGTTAGATCTAAATGCCCTTGCAAACTCCTTAGCTGCTTTGGCAATTTTATGTATTCGAGAAGCCCTTTGCAGGTGAGAAATGGAAATGCATATTTAGTACTTATCTCTTAAATGTTCACGCAATTGGTAATTGTTGATAAGTACCATTATTTTTTTTCATATATAATATCTTATGAGAATTTCCTTAAATCAGTTTGTCATGCCAACTGACCAATTCAAGCTTTCTAATTCTTTGTTTGCTTTAGATCACTATATTGTGTACTATGTTGCAGGGCTGCTTTTGTCATGAAGTCGTATCCGTGCCCGACAGGTTACACTCCATATCAGTACTGAACGCTGACACTTCCCTGGACACTCCTTGGATACATGCGGAGCTTATTCAAATGTGTACTCCATTGTCTAATAAATGTTTTACTTTAAAGCACTTGTCATACATTTCTTCAAAGTATATCTTACACTTCACATACACTTACATGAAAATTGTTCCATCTGGAGCGAGTTCATTTCAACCCCTACGCAGTCCAGAACTATGATTTTAGATGGGTTCTTGGGTATTAGGTTCCGAGAACAAGTTGTTCTTGAACCCAGTCCAGGTAACTTGAAAGATTCAAAAACTTATGAACATATCTATTCGTTCAACCTTGTATGCAATGGCAGATTGCATGAACATGTTTTGTTAGTATGATCCTGCAAGAGGAAGAAAGTCTAGATGCGGATACTCGTCTATATATGTTTAATACTAATTTGTTTACAAAATCAACATCTTGACAGTTTCTAACTATAAAGGAATCAACTTTGGGGGTTCCCTTGGTACTAAGAAAACTTTCCTCTCTCTCATCTTATAACCTTCTTGCTGTATTGAGCATATCTATCCTTTTAGGTTTTACATTTGGTACATATCATCTCTACACACTGTTCAAGTAGACCTCTAGACTATGCTTGATGGCGTGCTGGGAGATTATTTCTTAATTCATATCCTAACAGTGTTTTGAATTTGACAATCTGGTTCTTTAGGTACACCTGAATGCAACTTTCATCCAAACTCTGCATCTTTTCCATTTTGGATGTGAATTATTCATCACATGTGATTATAAGACGGTGCTTGTTTAAAGATTTGGTCGATCAAGAAACAAGGACGTTTAAAGATCAATGGTTTAGCAGCAACATGAGAAACAAATAGTTAGCTAGAAATGAATACTTTTGCAGGATCACGTATGGCATGAATTGAACATATAATGAGATTGCATCTTTTGATATACGTCAGACAAATGATCAGCTAGAAATATATACATTTGCGAGGTCACATACGGCATGAATCGAGCATATTATGGGATCACATCTTCTTTGATGTGTTGGACGTGTGCACAACATTGTGTGCATGGGGTATATGTTGGATGCTTTGTTGCATGTGCCAACTGGATAAGGTCTGACAGCAAAAATGCGAGAAGGAGAAAAAGACTTGATTAATATGTTCATTATATTTGATGCAAAAGACTTGATTAATATGTTCATTATATTTGAAAAGTTAAGTTTAGACATGTTGATCATCAAAATTAACTTCAAATCCATAATCTAAGGATTAAAATTGTCGTAACAATATGACTAATATGCATCCCGATAATTCGGATATGGATTTGGATATTTCACTATAAAACAATGTCCATCATTTTATCCTATTGGTTATAGATTTGAGTAGTCATATCTGTATCCTAACGGACACGATTGCGGATATTTCCTCGGATGTGAATACAGTTTAGCACCCCTACGACAAAAGCTCTGAAAATAGTGCTGCATGTGCTTCTGCGTGCCGGTGTGTATAACTTGTTATTGTATCTCAATAGATTTGAGAATATGACACTTTTTATCGCACAACATTTTAAGTACAGCCTACTAATCCTGCTTCACTTTTTTTTTGTTGAGAACAATTATAAGGGAAACTAGATACATAAACAACATTACCGAAAATGAATCATGAGATAACTTTGCACCCAAAATATAGGGACAAAGTGTGGGACACATGGGCTGTTCCCTCAGCAGCTGAAGAAAAAAGGGGCCGAGATACTTCTTCCTTCATCATAACATCGCTTAATTAGCTACTAAGAACATCTCTAACAGTTTTCCCAAAATTTTCTCCAAAATGGGGAAACAAAAGTCATATTCTCCAAATTATTTTTGCTCCAACTCCAACAGCTTCTCAATTTTGAAGAATCCCGCATTTATTACAAAAATAAAAATATTCTACATCCCTATTTTGGGATTCTCTTATGCATTGGAACTGCCCCCATGGTTTTTTTTATAATTACGGATTTTGTTTTATATTTATTTTCTCCTCCATCCCCTTTTGAAGAACGTGCTGCATTTATGACAAAACTCTCCCATTTTGAAGTCCGCTTTATGTACTTTGGCACTAATTTGGGATTGTAGTCAGATTGACTATGATGAGGAAAGTACTGGCAAATTGTTACAATCTGCCTTCTGATCACATGCTTTTTGATGGGGGGATGGCCAAAGTAATCATGGAGGTGGCTCTTAGTCATCCACCCACAACTAATAACCTATTAGCGTAATCATAAGGTCAAACTGATAGCATTGATTTAGGATCTGATAGCATTGACCTTCCTTATTATAAATGAAGGAGATTGAATGAATTGTTAATTTTCTCATTCACAATAGGAGCGTATAAATAGAGTACAAGGGATTACATTAGATCCTAAATCAATGCTAATTACAATCCTCTAATTAATGATAACTATAAATAATGAAGGTCAATGCTATCAGACCCTAAATCAATGCTCTCAGATCCTAAATCAATGCTATCAGTTTGACCCTATGATTACGCTAATATAACCAAATGGGAAATCTCTCTCTAAAAACTTGTAGTTTGTGGAATCACTGATCAAATCCATATGCCACGGTCATGTTCTGTCTTATAATACTTGCACCTCAGGTGCGACCGACTCATAATATTACAACACGCATGGGTTCATCAAAACAGCTGTTGATAAATACAATACGCCACAAACTTCTATTCTCCTCTCATTATATACTTTTTTTCTATGCCTGCTAATGTCGTCCTTCACTTCTTCACGTGAAATATCAGTCTGTTGTGAGGCTGAAATTCTGGAACATCAACAGACTATCTTCTTTATCACCCAATCTCTTTGGACCTTCGTTTTTTATCGACAGCGAGTTCGGCCGAAGTCTTGGATACAGATGTTCGATCTTTAGGACACCCTTGTCTGAGATCGACTTGTTCTGGACAATTGGCATAGACAGCCTTCTACGAACTAAACTGAGCCAATCTTCACATCGCATTCTTTATCTCGAGAAGTCTAGACCACCTCTTGTCGTAACTTCTTTTACTATCAGTATCTGCGCGGACAAATTTTCAAAACCGATCCCTTTGGATTTTTAATTGCAAAAAACGACCTATTTCAGTTTTATTTATAAAAACCGACCCAGTTGGTTGAAACTGGGTCGGTTTTTGAAATTTTTTCTTCCAAACTTCACGGGAGTTCAACTCCCGTGAAGTTTTGTTATGAGAAAAACTTCACGGGAGTTCAACTCCCGTGAAGTTTCCCAAAAAAATTTAAAAAAACCGACCTGTTTTCAGCTAAATAGGTCGGTTTTTGTAAATATTTTCAAAACCGGTCGTTTTTTGCAATTAAAAACCCAAAAGGGTCGGTTTTGAAAATTTGTCCGTATCTGCGCAGTCAAAAAGAATGCTAATGACATGGAAAACCCCAGCTCTGTGGATAGATCTGGTCATGCTTCCCAAAATACAGGACGTAACTAAATTAAATGTATAGATTGCGCGCGGGTATATTAAAATCTCTTACATTGCCATATGACTGCAGACTTCTCACATGCCTCAGAGCATGTATCCTGTGCCAGAAATTTGTTATCGGTAATCAAATCGCAAATGTATCTTTTTATCATTGCGTGCAAATTGCACAAGCATGCAAAACAAGGGAGGTGGGGTTTTCGTACCTTCCCCGAAGCTGTTAGTCGTATTGTATCTTGGACTAAGGAATCAAGGTCCGCCTCTGATCCAGGTTGCACGTAGACCACCTGTTAAATAAACTTTTTTAGACTGTGTATGTGCTTGACAAAGAGAGGAGAGAGAGGGTCGAGGAACTTAATGATGGATCGCTTCCTCCAATTTCGGGCAGCTGGGTCTCACTGCTCTTGCTTGAAGGTAGAACCCAAACATCGAAGGTAGTATCAATCTGCAAAAATTAGCAAAATAATTCTGAAATAAGAAAATTTGAAGTTCTTCTAAAGCAAGAGTAGAACATTGGCTGGATTGATTAAGGAATCACTACATATTATTATCTTTTAATAGATGATTATGGAAAACCTTTATTTTGGTACAAAATGTCATTTGTCTTTTTGAGATATCTTGTAAAATCAAGAACTTGTGATGACGTGATGGCATTTCTTTTGCACTAATTTATCAGGGACTTACATGTTCCCCCCCTTGCGAGGCATCTATAGTTAGGCTAGCTTGCGATCACGAATATGATCTAGCAATCTCTTGCCTTCCAAGGAAAAAAAAGACTAATAAGAATGTTAAAAAGTACTAAGCATAGAAGTGAAGAAACATAAACTTGACCTTATTTTGGAATGAGTTTCTAGTAGTATAAGCTTCTATGTTGCGTTACGATGCTAAGCATGTTCGAGATGTATGTTTCTCTACAATAGGAGTTGCCATCAGGTAATAATGTTGAAATGGTATGTTTCTCTATAATTTTCTTTTTGTAAACCTTATGGCGGATATCATCCTTGCAAGTTGCAAATGGTTAGCAATTACCTCTGTACAGTATGATGAAAGGCAGCAACTGCATTTCCGGCTGATGGATGTGATGATTCTCCCATCTACAGAAAATCCGAAGCCAGAATGCTGGGAGAAAAGAAAATTTTCAAGGTTAGCTTGCTTAGGGTGGTTTATTTCTTGGGAGGATAACAGAAAGTATAGAATTAAGAAGTTAGACCTTCTTCTTGCCATTTCTAGCCACATCCTATGAAGTATTGACGTTAACCATTTAGTGAGTCGCTTATTTGTTGGTTCAGTTTTAAACTTTTGTCCGTGCAATTTTGTCAGTAGAAAGGAATCCTTTATTTGGGGAAAGATCAAAGAGTGATCAACATGTGAGACGCGCATCACAGAATTCTTGGTCAGACCACAGATCAGATCCATGTGAACTTTGACTACGGTTCCAAAAAATGATTACTTCCAGGTTTAATTTTGGCATTCTTGGATGGTTCTATTAACATCTTAATATTATTTCTTTCAAAGTTTGGTAAGCTCTCGCGAGCAACTCATTTTTCGTTTCGTATTGGAGAAGAATCGCCTGCTGTTAGGCCATGAAAATATAGACGTGCATGGAGTTAATTGGTCTAAAGATGGTATTGTGATAGAAAAAACAAGGAAACCGGAATGGTATATGATTATGGGCCTCTTTATCGACCTTGATAATTTGATAGTCAATCCATTTTCTTTTCTCGTCATGGTACTGCTTCGTTTATGCCTAATTGAATATTTATTGACTTAAATCATTTGTGAAAACCCTGCTATTTGAGTAGTTTGACTTCCGTTATTGCTTTCTTTCACAATCTGTTGGATGATCGTATGTTAAACTTGAATGTACATTCTTTCTTTTAAAATTAGTAAAATCTGGCCCTTACCAGTCCTTGAATTAAGTTGTGAAAGATTATTTACCTTCTGAACGCTAAGACTAACAAAGACCTCTGCATCCTTCTGTCCGTCTTCAGCGAGATCTGCCAACTGAAGCTCCCTCAACGATAATACGTAGTCGCAGCTCCACTGCCCGTGAAATCTCCCGCTGGATGTTGAGATGGTTATCAGACGGCGCGGTGCTCTTGGAGGCTTTTTCGTATTTTTCTTGAGGTTCTGCGCAAAAATTCACACCCTTGATTGTAAAAACTGCTAGTCCTGAATACATGACCTTTAATCTTTGTATGAATTAACTGGCTAGCTGTTTGTACCGGAACATGATTATCTTTACTTGAGGAAGGAGAAGAGACAGCTTGAACTTTGAAATGTGAGGGTAAGGATGTAAATCTCCGATGATGTGGTCTGAATCCGAGATCTCTAGTGGGGATGGGGATGAAGAGCTTGGAGATGGTTTCTGATAAACTGGCCATCCTCTCTCTCTCTCTCTCTCTATGGAGACGAGTGAAAACATTTTGTTAATCCTTGTGATACATATATATATCTGTGGAATCTGTTAGTGACCGCTGCAATGGATATTTTGGTCAGGACCTTATCACTTGGCTGCAGGGTTCACGTGGTGTCTATTGTCTCTACGTAGTAGTAAGATGAAGTCACTGCTGAAGCTACAAAAGGAGTTATGTTTGTGAACTGGCACCTCTTTTAAGTTCAACCAGTTTTCCAACTTGGAACCTCCCAGAACTTGAGCTTGCCTTCATTTGCTGAAATGGTATCGTGTTTTGGTTTCTGCAGATAATAGGACTACCTGTAAATAGGCTCCATGTAGGTTGATGGAGATTGAAATTCTTGGTGCAACCAAAAGCCATAGTCAAATTGACATTTAAGGACAATTTTTCAAAAGAGACCCATTTGAACATTTAATTGCAAAAAACGGCATGTTTCCAAGATATTTTTAAAAACCGACCTGGTTTTAGCCCTGTCGCTGAAAGCAGGTCGGTTTCTGTGAAAATTTTTTCGAAACTCCACGGGAGTTCAACTCCCAAGAAGTTTAGTATATTTTTAAACTTCACGGGAGTTCAACTCCCGTGAAGTTTAATTTCTTAAAAAACTTCACGGGAGTTGAACTCCCATGAAGCTTAGATTGCAAATTTTTTCCCCTTGTTATTCTTTGCTCTCACGTGAATCATCTCTCATACTTGTCCCCTCTTCCCATCTGAGATTTCTGCAAGTTTCTCATCTGGGCATCCCTAAGATTCAACCTTTTGAAGTGGGTTTCTCTCAAAATTGAATCTTGCTTCTTGATTTTACATGTGTTCATCGTTCTAGCCCGATTTGGTATCTAGCTTGGGTGAAAATCATTGTTCGGCACTGTCAGCCTCTAGCTTGGGCGAAATGGTGCAGGAGGCTTCTCAGAGTTGCTGTGATGAGGAGGATGAGGGGCTTCTATATGGAGATTACATTTCACTTTGAGAGCTCGGTGATCCCAAAATGGATTCCAAAATGGGAAAGGAAAGAATAACAAGTACCAGAGATGAAGGACTTCATTATTTTGATATATTTATGTGGAGCTTCAATTGGCCCCTCTAAACAATAATTCCTCCTTTGTTTTCTCTTATCTGATGTTTTTCTTCCTTACAGCCACCATCCCTTTGTTCCTTCTAATCTGCAAGTCTCTCCCTTTGAAGCCTCTCCCTTTATGGGCAAGTGAGGTTAGATTACTCTCAATCTTGTTCTGGCAAGAATTCTTGTACTTTTTTGTGTATTCAGTGAAGAATTATAGGCTTATTTCTTTCTGGGTCATTAAGATTTCGATCAAAATGAGTTCCAAGAGGAAGTGTGCTTCTAGAGTTCAGAATGTGGAATCAATGGAGATGTCGGTACTATGTTTGCCTGTAACAAACTTCACAGGAGTTGAACTCCCGTGAAGTTTGTTCAACCAATATAGCTTCACGAGAGTTGGACTCTCGTGAAGTTTTAGCAGTTTGTTAAAAATCTGCTAAACTTCACGGGAGTTCAACTCCCGTGAAGTTTCGGAAAAATATTTTTAAAAACCCACCTGGTTTCAGCGACAGGGCTGAAACCAGGTCGGTTTTTAAAAATAACTTCAAAACGGGTCGTTTTTTACAAATAAAAGTTCAAAGAGATCTCTTTTGAAAATTTGTCCTGACATTTAATCATGGAAAGGGTACAAAAGAGCTGTCAAGATCAGAGCACACATAGGACAATTTTTCAAAACCAACCTATTTAGAAATTTAATCCCAGAAAACAACCTCTTTCAAACTTAATTGCAAAAACCGACTTGGTTTCAGCCTTGACGCTGAAACCAGATCGGTTTTTGTGAAAAAACTTCAAAAACTTTACGGGAGTTGAACTCTCGTAAAGTTTAGTAAAACTGCTAAACTTCACGGGGTTGAACTTCCGTGAAGTTTCGCAGTTCAAAAAAAAATTTGAACTACGAAACTTTACGGGAGTTCAACTCCCGTAAAGTTTCGGACAAAAATTTTCAAAAACCAACCTGGTTTTAGCTCCAGAGATGAAACCAGATCGGTTTTTGAAATTTTTTACAAAAACGGTCGGTTTTTGAAAATAAATAGTGAAAGGGGTTGGTTTTGAAAATTTGTCCTACGCATATATTCAGATGCATGTACAAATGTTGGCTCTGTCAAACTGATCAATAGTATTTTTCTTGTGTCATCTTGAATATGTGAAAATAGAGCCGACACACCTAGGAAAGGTTGCTAAAACTTTGGAAGCAAACGAGGCCACCCATGGAGCCCAAGGATGGAAAAAGGAACACGGTGCGTGAAGAGAGAGAGAAATATTGGACCAGACCGATGCTAACGCTTGTGATCAATCTTCAAAGCATAAAAGAGGAAAAGACGATTACAGAGTCCAGAAAGACATCAATATGGGATTAGATTTTTCTTATAAAAACAGTAGGAATCTAGGGACGATTTTCCTTGAATTACTTTTTTTTTAAACAATATAGATGAATCTGAAACTGAGTATCCCAATCACATTATATATCTTGCGGGAAAACGCTCTGAAATCATCTCCTATGTAGAATGCAAAATTTCAAGTGAATCCCAATGATGTTCAATCGGGTTGCCCCAGTAATTAATGTTCTCCAGTAAACCTGGAAATAAATCTCATTTTGCACATCTCATCATTTCAATCCTGAGCTGAGTTAGCTTGCTAATCTTACAAAAATAACTTGGACAATGTTTAAATTGACCCGACCCATAAAGTATATATTCACATTCGTAGACACCAAAAGTGCTCAAGGAGAATCCAGAACAACACTAGCACTAGCATTTGAACCATCAAATTTCTACAGTCCAGGACTAAACCAAGCTGATTAAATACATTGACGTCGTAAACGAACATGTTGAAATATGTCAGATAATGACAGCCTTGTTTCAGCTATTCGAGATAACTGTACACGCATCTGGAGAATAGAAAAATCTTAAAGAAAATAAAATTACGCAAAAGATAACTTATACATCAAACTAGCATGCTTTGTTAAGATAGTTCAGCCCAGTGAGATCATCACTACTTCAACCAAACTTGGGAGATGAATTTGATGAGAATCAGCCATTGCTTGCAGACTTGTAGTGATCATCATCAATTGTAGAATAAATATTACCAACATCAACATGATAATGAATGGCCTCCCTAAAAATTATAGATAACGAAACAGTGAGAAACTAATACTCTAATCATAACATCATCAGCACACAAGTATGAGCAAACACTGAGTGATTCAAGCAAACATGCACGCAAGGTAGGAGAGAAAGAGACATGATCTTATCCTTTGGTAGACAAAGTCGTTGAACAATTTCATCAACATGCAGTCCATGCTCACGAGCACTGCAGAAGAAAAATTACAAAATTAGAAGGCTTTGCTTTAAAATGTGGACCAAAACAGGGCAATACAAATCATGTAATAAACACTGGTCTAACAAATATTAATGTTAATCATTACATTAACCAGACAAAATAAATGGTATAATGAAGGTATGAGATGGATGATTTTATATGAGAATAGGATAGAACAATTAAGGACCAGTACTTTGTAGCGCAATCTGGATCTGTTGTGAGAAAGTAAAACTTTACACAGCCTGAGCAACTTGAATTAGTACCAATGGTACATGACGCCATTGACTTCGGATGTATAAACCGATGAAAATTTGTGCGACACTTGATCTCATGATTTGTACATATGATTCCTTATACCCTTCAGTATACATAGCTTAAAGTTCCTGAATTTAAAAGTCAAATACTTCCAAAAGAAAGAAACATATGACAATTAGTGGGAACAAAACAATCAAAGCATCTTGTTTTTAAAGTTGGGAAAAAAAGAAGAGTGCAGCTGATGTTGTGGTACAATCATAAGGATGTGGATTTTACATTTATTGCTAAAACATGTATTTGTTTCAGTTTCACGTGCTATCATGCAAAATATGGCACCATATATTGGAACAAGGAAGCTAAGTTAACATAAAACCTTAAAACAACTGCTGAGATATTGCTAACAAACTGGCATTGCAGATCTTACCTTTCTTTCAGGTTTACAAATTCACTTCGTCTTTTTTGTTTCATATAGCAAGAGTAAAGTGAAAATTCAGAATTCATTCTTTTCTGCGACCCTTAAGTATTGTGTTCAAACATTATACTATTTATTTTTTGAGGAAGCACATCCTTATCATACATAGTATTGAATAATAGAGGAGCTTAATAATTATTAGATAAAAACTCACAGGCTTGCTTTCTCCTGAAAAATATCAGAAACCAATTGGAGGATGTTACCCCCTGAACTGGCTGCGGCCGAATATGGTGAAAACTGGAGCAAAAGAAATGAACATGTTCAGTCAATTAATTCAGTGTGCAATCTAGATAGAATAAGATAATACATATAAAATCTTTTGCAACTCTTACTTGATTAGACATAGGAGTTTGATATCCTTGCACTTCATTCTTCATCATCGTTTCAGCTCCCAAAAGAGAAGATCCCTGGACCTTTTATTGAATGAAAAAAAAAGATAATGGCACTTGTACATCAGGCTGAGGTGCATGAACATACACTAGGAATGACACAAGATAGAGGGACTAAATTTCAGATGCTAATACCTTTGGTATGGTGTTCTCGAGATGAACATAAATGCATTCAATAAAATGGAGTGTGACCACATTAAAGTCAACCACGGGTCTGAAAAGAAAAAGTTTATAGTCACAGGATACTTAAATCACATAATAAGACCCTAAGTTGGATAGGTATGGGTACGGGTGCTGGTATGTGTACGGGACACAGCAAATTGGTAAATGGTAGGGTACGTGGACACGGCTACAAACATGCATTTTATGCATATTTCTACGTATCAAGTCAATAATTTACATAAGATCAATATTATTTTTTCATTCACATAAGATCAATATATTAGAAATAGATGTGAAGTGTAGAATATACATCCAAGAAGTGTATGAGGAGTGTTTTAAATGAAAACATGTGGTATAATTGAGTATAAGCTTGAGCAAACATACGCATATATTTAAGAAGTGTCCAAGAAGTTTGGGTATGGGTAGAGACACATGTTTGGTACAGGTACGGCTTCCAATTAGAAGAACCTAGGTAACATAGGTAAGATCTAAACCTTTCATGCCCCAAAACATAGCATACAAGCAAACAGTAACTCAAGTAATAAACAAAGGAATGCATCTAAAGCTATGAATGCTGCTGCAGCAGAGGCTTAGGGATAAAATGCCATGGAAAACAAATCGATGCCAGAAAGCAATGAATCATATGATATGTAGGACATTTTCTCCAACAAAAAAAGGAGCATGCTTACCACACAAAAGAATAAAACAGATATCTATCCTACACTTACGAACGTGTACAACTGCCAATTCACTTAAGATTATGTACAAAATGGAATAACTTGTACCCTTTTGACAGATGGTGCGCGTGCGCATGTATATGTACATGTGCATCAGATATACATATTTTAAGATGAAATATGCATATATAGTCATGTTTGTGTCTGGATTTTGGAAAAACCCAGCACTCATGTATGTGTTTGTGAGTTACAAAACAATTATGTAGACTCCCCAGGCATACCCCTGAAATTACTTTGAACCTGACAGACCCAAAAGGCACAAAGTCAGATTTGAGATGAGAATATATTTACAAAATATGGAAAAGGCCCATAGAGAACAACAGTAAAAAGGAAATTTTCATTCTTGTAGATAGGTTCTCTTTTAGAACTTATCCAATTATCTGAAACTATGAGCTTGTTAACGGAATTCTTTCTCCTTGGAGTACTTGCTAATAGTCAAATATGGAACTAGAAGTGTGGTTGACAAAATACCATGTGAGGCTAAGCAATTAAGGATAGAATACCCTGCACATGTCATTTTACGATACACGTACTGCAATACCAAAATGCGACTAGCAGTTCCTCTTCTTTCAGTTTTTAAAGGCAAGAAAACTACAATGGATGATCACATTGCTGAGTTCTTCACAAGGTGACTAGAGCACTGTTCAACATGATATCATCCTTCTTCTTGAGCAAACAAGTTTGTTCTAGTTGGGTCAAGACTTTGGTCATTTTCTCTCTCTAGTTTCACAGCTTCATTATGCCTTATCACTTATCAGCCTATGCAACATAATCCAAATTTAACCATACATCTTCTTCAATGATTAAAATTCTTTGTGGATCAGGCAATCGCCAAGGAACTAGTTCAGCCTGGGAACATTATGAATAACATTCAAACTATTACAGAAGTTAGACAAGTGCATTTACAAAACAAAAGGAAGAAACAAGCGAAACTTTATCATCAAGTTGGATATGAAGAAGGCTTTGGGTTAGGTTAACTGGTCTTTTCATCGAGCTCTCTCAAGCAATGGAATTTTATGCCGTCTAGATTTTCTTCCATTGTGTGCATTGAGTCTATCTCCAAAGATGGTTTTGTTACTGATTTATATTGCTTCAAAATTGGAGTTTGCATGCAGGTGGTGCTCATAAAAAAGAAGGAACCATCTTGTGCTTTAAGTCAACATGTTCGAATTCACAATCTCCTCTTCTACTGCTCAAGTTGAAAATGGTAAATGATTTCATATCGTTCTTGATAGCGACTTTCTAATTTTCTCACAGTTTATTAGAAAGATGTCCATTATCTATTTAAAATCTATTATGAGATATATAGGGGTGGATTTATAGTGGACAGACCCCTAAGATTTATAGTCAATATCAAGCCCATATTTCACTTTGCACCCTCTATATTTGATCTCATTGACCCCTCAGTCCCCGTTTGGAAATAAACATATAATTAACCAAACCTGACCAATTTATCAAATTCTAAAATATCATATACTAGGTATACTTGTAGACTTAGTTTTGCCCCAGTAACCAGAGTTTTTAGATCCACCCCATTGCAGATGTCCCTCAAGCTTGAGGAGCGGTAGCATCTTCCGAAGAAGTTTGTGGGACATAATAGCGGTGGTATTAGCATTGTTTCTTATAAGTTTCTAGTAACATTCCCTTCTTTGTAAACATAAACATCCTTTTTGAACACTATTACGTGTGAATAAGAGTTCACTATTTTAGAAAGCATTTCCTCCTCCTCAGCTTCAGATCTAGAGTCTAGGCGGGCAATTAAATGGTCGTAGAACTTTTTGGCAATTTTTTTTGCAAGACAATTGTTTTTATCACAATACAAGATTAGAGATTACAGAGTTTTTTTTCCCTGAGAAGATTCAAAAACCTATTCTAGAATGGATTTGAATACGAGTTGTGATCTGATCAATTTTGACTTGACCCATTCTCTTCAACTTTTTTACTATGATTAAGCTGCAGCCTGCAGCATACCCGATTTTGACACAATGTGGCTTGCTTTAGTAGCTCATGCTTGCTTAGATTGCCAATATTAGCTCAAGCATTCTGCGTACCGCTTAAGAATAGGCAGACTGAGAACCGTTAACTTAAATTGAGGTGGCCACACTTGTGGATGCCTAGACTACATTTTAAAACAAATGATTTATCCAAAAGAAAATTCTTCACTCATAAAATCACATATAAATTTAGAATCTTGTTTATGAAACCAGCCTTGTAGAGTTGATAAGGCTTGCGTGTTGTAAATGGTCGCCAATTTTGATAAATCGCCTATGTAATGTATTTGTGTCATACCTGCTCTGTTTTGACTAGATATGTCTACTCATACTGGGTATTCATACATCAAAAAGAATAGAAGTGGTCGTAGTAACTAATTTCACACAAGCCAATCTTAAGTATAACTGATTATGATGCTTGATTCTATGAAACTGCATAGGCTATTAATACAAGTAGACGTACAACTGCTTACAATTTACGAACGAGAAAATAGTTTCAATTATTACAACTAATGGATTTTATAAAATTTGACTTCGAATAAAAGAAAACAAGAACCACACTCTCTTGGTATCTATGTTACCCAGTTACTTCTATCATGAAGTTGTACCAGCATCGACATGTACCTAACAACTACTTGTATCTAAACTCCATGGACACTCCTTGGATATATGCATTTATTCAGACATGTACTCAATTTTGTGATATACGTTTTACTTTAAACTACTTGCATACACTTCTTGGATGAATATCCTACACTTCATGCCCATTTCTTGAAACTCCTTGAACATCGTTAGGGTTAGTTTTAGCCCATATTCAAGTTAAAAATTATTATTTAAAAGGGTGTGCTGAGTGTCTAGTTAAATACGATCAGTTTCCAATTTATTGTAACCGTCATAATTAAAAAAAACTTTAAAATATGATAGAAAATTTCAATATAAATAGCACATCCCTTGAAAAATAATAATAGCCTCATGTGAAGTATTAATTCAATGTATATATGTGGTTGTCCCCGTACCCTACATTTTACAAATTTGTCGTGTCCTGTACTGGTACTCGCACCTGGATCCATGAAACTTAGCTTTTTCGTAAATGAGATGTACTTCTTACCGAACTGAGAAAGCAACAACATGCTTTTTGCCTTGAAATCCTTTCAAGCTGCCATTTATGACCACATACATTCCATTCCTTCAAATTGAAAAAAAAAAATTATTAACTCTAGAGAAAATATAATATTAGTATAGAGAACACAAAGGAAAAAAATATGAAAAATCATGACACTTACTCAATGGCAGCCATTTCATCCGTTTCACAAGTCTCATTCACCCTAGAACACAAAAACATTATTTCATGAAGAAAATTAAATAATAGAAAGTTTACACTGATTTTCACTTCACCTCCCGAAAGTTTCAGCCATTTACTAATTTTGACACCCCTAAAGTTCTCTTTCACAATTTGATATCCCACAAGTTTTCAAATTAAAATTTCCACGGTTAATTTGATACCCCCAAACCCCTGGGTTTGCTCCTCGTTTTCTCAAACGCAAAAAACTAAATTTGGTAAAAGAACGGGTTTCTCATTCACTTCCGTGTGTTGATATTTTTGAAAAAGAATCAACTTTGTCAGCAATTTTTCACAATTTTAAGGTATCAAGTAGTCAAAATCGCACCTCAGAATCTCAAATTTGAAAAAGATCGGAACTTTGGGATATTCGAGTCCAAACAACCCAGAAAAATCAGAGAAGAACAAACTAAAGATCTCACCATCTGTTGACATCAATCTTTCCCGTGCCATCATCAAGGGTAAAGGAAACATCAGTCACCCTCTCTGCTTTATTCATCACAATCCCTAAAAGTTTCACCTATCAAACAAAGATAACAACCATAGTTTGTGTTAGGGTTTTCGCTGCTCGAAGATCAAGGAAAGGAGAAAATTTTACATTTGATGCATCCATCCCATCGACAGCGAAATTGGATTTATCATCGTTAGAGTGGTAGGCTTCACTGATTTGCTTCACGGTGAGAGGGAGAGCGCCCTGGCCACCGCGGCTCTAGAAGAACGGTGAGGAGAGAGAAAGAATGAGACTGAGACCAAATCATATATATATATATAGAGAGAGAGAAACCCTAAAATGATGAGGTTTGAGTACCTTTGAGAAGGAGGATTCGGGGGTTTGCGTGGCCTGAGACGGCATGAAACCGCCGCCGGAGAAGAGATTAGAGGCGCCCCCGTCAAACTGGCCGCCACCTCCGCCGCCGTACATATTTGCCCTCGGTAAAATGGAGCTAAAACCCTAACCCTATAATTGTTTTGAGCTTTTAAATATTTTCATATTTTGCTCGAATAAATCTTAGATTTGTCAGCTTCGGCTCCCTGTTTAGAACTGGGCTTAAAAAGAAAATCGTTTTCATTTTGGACTTCTATCGATATAGAAAATAGATAAACATTGTCACATGTATTTAGTATCATCCTTGTTGGCGCCTTGGATGAATCTGGAATAAAACTGTTGTTGCTTATGGCTAAATCTGGAATAAAGCATATATAAAATAGATAAATCTGAAAATAAGCTAAAGTGTTGTATTTAAAAAAAAAATCAATTTATCTGTTGTGCGTTTGTAAAACGATGTGCTTAAAGCAACATTTGGCCTACTCCGGTGCAAGGATCCCAAGACCAAACTGTTTCCAGGAACAGTAGTACAGTACTCTGGTGTGTACCGACCCAGTACTGTTAAGATCTCCTCGATCTATAAGACCTTTCGGTCAAGGCAACGATCTCCTCGATCTGATAAAACCTTTCGGTTCAGGCAATGTTCCATCGAGCACCAAACAATTTTTCTCTCTTTTGTTTTTCACAATTTTTCTCTCTTGCTTCTTTCTTACACTTCTTTCTCTCTAATTTTCTTCTTATGATTTTCTTCTTCCTCAAGAGTCATTTTATAGCAAAAAAAGTTTCAACCATTATAATTCTTTTTATTTCTTTTATTATAATGGAATAACCATTATAATACTTTTTACTTCTTTTATTGTAATGGAATAACCATTATAATACTTTTTACTTCTTTTATTATAATGTAACAATCATTATAATATTTTTATTAATTTTCTCAATAGTTTAAAAACTTAAATGCTATTAGAAAGTGGTTTTATCCAAATAAAAAAAACCCAACAATACTTTCACACAAAGACATTTTCTAAAATGTTCAAATTTAAGCTTTTTATTTCTCAATGCAACATAAATTCATAAACACAAATACAAGAGGATACATATTTGTTTAACAGTGCCAAATATCATAAAAGATAATCAAGTTATACTTGAACATACATAAAATTAAAAAGCACACAATCACTCTTGGTTCGTCACATAAAATTAAAAAGCACAGAATCACTCTTGATTCGTTACATTAATGATGCACTAAAAAGACATACATCATCGTGATTATTTGACGCGGGCATCTACAAGCCCTGGAAACTTTAGGTGCTCACAATGCCAACTTCATTTGATCAAGAAACGTTTCAGAGTGTTCTTGTAAAATGCCGTGAGTCCATAACCGAACACCTCCCTCGAACACCGGAGACTGAAGCAATTCACGAAAGACGCTAGTTGGTCACGTTTGATGTCTTCTTGTGATGCGGGACGATACTTTGTCGTGGCCCGCATCGCATGAGTCACCTCACGTCAGTGTAGCCCCGAGATGCTCCAATGCGGAGGCAGAGTAAAGTGTCAAATATAGAGTTGTTCAACCTGTAACGAGCTCCTCGTCAAAACCCTGGCTCGACCAAGTCGAGCATTTCTTAAAGGATCTCTGCTTGGCATCTCTAACTGTTTTCACTACCTCTGCAAATGCTGCTTGACCAACGAACTCACTAGTACTCTTGACTAGGGAAGCGTAGAGGAGATTTCCGTAATAACCGCTCCCACAGGGAAGAACTTGGTTCAAATTTGGCCTCATGTCTGTAGGAAACGTGAGGGTAACGTTGGCACGAGGCTCTCCATTAACTGCTCTTGTGCGTACTCGCCAAAGCAGCGCAGTTAGGATATCGAAAGTAGAGCAGTTCTCATCGGTTTCCTCGATGAAATTATTCTTCAGTTTGTTGATTTGATCAGAAGAGATATCAATTATGTGTTGTTTCAAATTATTGGTTGATGAGGTCAAGGCCGCATTATATGCTGATTTTGGGATGATGAATTTTTGGGGATTTGGGATAGATTCTCGAAGCCATATTGGTTTTACCGTGGGTTTAGGATGACCTCGAGAGATTTCGGCAACAGCGTTCATGAATTGGGCCAATCCGAAGCCGTCGAATACTGAGTGGTGGTATTCAATACTGAAGAAATTACAGAAACTCAGAAGAATCAGGCAAACTAGGCGGCGGTCGACCGGTCCGGTCGACCGCATTCGTGCACAAAGCTTACTGTGCGTCAGGAAGGTGGTCGGTCGACCGGTGCGGTCGACCGAGGGGTTCTCTGGAGTTTGGGTTTTCTACTGAGAGCTGGTCGGTCGACCGGGCCGGTCGACCGGAATTGATCGCGGTCGACCGGTCCGGTCGACCGACGCTGTTTTGGGCTGGGCTTTCAGGTTTTCGACCCGATTCGTTTTGTAAGTTCTATATATACCTAAACCTGTTTGTTTAGGGTAGAGGTTGGACGAATTTGAGCAGCCAAAGAGAGAGAATCATTGCATCCAATTGTGAGAGAGCTTTGAGAGATCTAGAGCTTTGTTTTAGGGTTTGGTCTGAGAGATTTGTAACCCTATTTGTATTCCCTTGATTTCTAGTAGTAAAATCTCCCCCCCCCCTCCTTGCCCCGTAGACGTAGGCAACTTGCCGAACCACGTAAATTCTTTGTTCTTGTTGTGATTGTGGTTTGCATATTGTTTGTGGTTTAGTTCAAGTTATTGTTCGTGTTGCCCTAGAAAGCTTCCGCCGCGCACAACAATTGGTATCAGAGCTAGATCGACAACATGGGAGATGCAAGCACGTCAGGTTCGTCTCTAACAAAGGCGATACAGAGTCTGAGCATCAATAACACGAAGATTGATGTTCCGAAGTTCGATGGCAAGATCAATTTTGGATTGTGGAGGTGTCAGGTGATGGATGCTTTGGATGCACAGAATTTGGAGGAGACTCTTGAGTTAAAAGAGAAACCCGCTGAGTTGGAGGATAAGGTTTGGAGAAAGATGAACAGTAGAGCTTGTGGTGTTATTAGGTCATGCTTGACGCCGGATCTTATTTATGATGTTATGAACGAGACGTCGGCGAAGAAGATGTGGGAAACACTCAATGAGAAATATCTTACGAAGAGCATTGAGAATCGGCTTCACTTGAAGAAGAGATTTTACCAGTTCAAGATGAAGAGAGGGGTTTCCATCAGGGAGCATGTCAACAATTTCACTAAGCTACTTTCAGATATGGCCAATGTTGATATTATAGTTGAGGATGAAGACAAGGCGATGCTACTTCTGTGTTCGTTGCCCGAAGATGATTATGGTACGTTCGTTCTCACTATGATCAATGGAAGAACTACAGTTAGCTACAAGGAGGTGACCTCAGCTTTGGTGAACTATGAGTTGAGGAAGAGTGATGGTGAACCCTCCGAGAAGGCATCGGGAGATGCGTTAGCAGTTCGAGGCCGAGATCCAAACCGTCGTCAGTTTAACCGCTCAAAGTCAAAGAATAGGAGTGCCTATAAGAGTGTTGGTAGAAATCAATGTCGGTATTGTAAAGAAGAAGGACATTGGAAGATTGACTGCCCAAAGTGGAAAGAAAAAGCCGGAAAGAATAAGGGGAAAGCTGCACAAGCTTCAGAAGTGAATGTTGCAAAAGCTATTGGTGAGCATTCAGATTCAGATTCTTCAGGCTATTCATGCCCTGCTTTACCGTCGGTTTGCTATGCGGATTCCACGGAGTGGATGATGGATTCGGGAGCTACATATCACATCTGCCCTAAGAGGGAGTGGTTTTCTAGCTTTGAGGAGCTGGAAAGAGGGGATGTCGTGCTTATGGGTAATGATCACGTATGCCCTATTGGTGGTATTGGTTCAGTCCGGATCAGGATGCATGATGGTGTAGTGAGGGAATTGAAGGAAGTGAGGTTCGTGCCGCAGTTGACGAAGAACATCATTTCTCTTGGGACTTTGGAGGCAGCAGGATATCGAGTGATCTTAGAGGATGCTACAGTGAAGGTCACGAAGGGTTCTATGGTGGTGATGCGAGGTGTCAGGGAAAACTACCTATACTACTTGAAGGGCAAGACAGTTACAGGGGGTCTGGCAGCTTCTATCACTACAGAGGAGGACACTACCACCTTATGGCACATGAGACTTGGACACACAGGAGATAAGTCCCTACAGTCATTGGCTAAACAGGGGCTATTGAAAGGTGCTAAGACCTGCAAGATGGAATTGTGTGAGCATTGTGTACTTGGGAAGAAGACTAGAGTGAAGTTCGGCACCGCTGTTCATAACACCCAAGGTACATTGGATTATATTCACACGGACGTTTGGGGTCCTTCCAAGAACACATCTCTTGGTGGGGCCAACTATTTTGTCACTTTCATTGATGATTATTCCAGGAGGAATTGGGTATACCCGATGAAGCATAAACATCAGGTCCTGGATATTTTTGTGGAGTGGAAAAAGAAAGTGGAGCTGCAGACAGGTAGAAAGGTGAAGACTCTACGTTCAGATAACGGTGGAGAGTACAAGAGTGATCCGTTTCTGCAGTTTTGCCGGGATCACGGCATTAGAAGACACTTCACAGTTCGAGAGACACCGCAACAGAACGGGGTGGCTGAGAGATTGAACCGTACCTTGCTGGAGAAGGTGCGGTGTATGATGACGCAGAGTGGATTGCCTAGATCTTTTTGGGCCGAGGCGTTGGTTTATGCGAGCCATCTTGTGAACAGGTTGCCGTGCACTGCGATAGACGGGAAGACTCCTTTGGAGCGTTGGTTTGGTTCGGTGGCTAGTGACTATGAGTCGCTTCGGATATTCGGGTGTCCAGCTTATTATCATGTCAGTGATGGCAAATTAAATCCGAGAGCGAGGAAAGCAGTCTTTGTGGGATTTAGGGATGGAGTCAAAGGCTTCAAGTTATGGGATCCACGGGACAAGAAGATAGTTATTAGCAGAGATGTCACATTTGACGAGGCGTACATGATAAGGCCTCGAGCCCCTCAGCAGGTGGAGGGAGACCAGACAGGAGAGATATCGCAGCAGGTGGAGGGTGATGGGACTCCACCCACTCCAGAGAACACTGTATCCATTGAGGCTCCTACAGAGGTGACACTGGGAGGAGATGAGATGACAGATGGGCAGATACAGGATACAGTAGATCATGGGACTCAGGAACAGGGTCATGTTCAGAGGACCATTGCAGCAGATAGACCGAGGAGAGAGATTCGTCGGCCAGCTAGGTATAATGATGTCATGGTCGCATATGCATTATCAGTGGAGGTCGTTGATGATATGGTTCCAGCCACATTCAGGGAGGCAGAGTCTAGCCCCGATTCGATCAGGTGGAGGGAAGCTATGAAGGAGGAGATGCGGTCTCTTCAGAAGAACGATACTTGGACACTTGCACAGCTACCTAAGGGTAAGAAAGCTATTGGTTGCAAGTGGGTATATGCGAAGAAGGAGGGATCTTCTATTGGGGACATTCGGTTCAAAGCCAGATTAGTTGCCAAGGGATATGCACAGCTTGAGGGCATTGATTACAACGAGGTATTTTCACCCGTTGTGAAGCATTCGTCGATTCGGATTTTATTGGCGTTGGTGGCACAGTTGGATTTGGATTTGGTCCAGATGGATGTGAAGACAGCCTTTCTATACGGAGATTTAGATGAGGAGATCTATATGACACAACCACAGGATTTCAAAGCTGCAGGAAAGGAAAATTTGGTTTGTAAGCTGAAGAAGTCTCTTTATGGTTTGAAGCAGTCACCAAGACAGTGGTATAAGAGATTCGACGGCTTTATGATTGGCCAAGGGTACACGAGGAGCCCATATGACCCATGTGTTTATATGCACAAGCTACAGGATGGTGAGCTCATATATTTGCTTTTATATGTTGATGATATGCTTATTGCTTCCAGGAATTCTTCGGCTATTCGAAAGCTGAAAGAGGAGTTATCATCCGAGTTTGAGATGAAGGATCTTGGAGAGGCAAAGAAGATATTGGGTATGGAGATCGAGCGAGACATGGTGAAGGGGAAATTGAAGCTTACACAGAGGAGTTACTTGCAGAAGATGTTGAAGAAATTCAGCTTTGATGGCAATGCAAAAGTAGTTAACACACCATTGGCTCCCCACTTCAAGCTTTCAGCGTTGATATCACCTGTTTCAGTTGAGGACAGAGATAATATGTCGAAGGTCCCATATGCTAGTGCAGTAGGTAGCTTGATGTATGCGATGGTGTGTACGAGGCCAGATTTGTCACAGGCCGTGAGCATGGTATCGAGATACATGCACGACCCCGGGAAGGGTCACTGGGAGGCCGTGAAGTGGATTCTACGGTATGTTCGAGGCACCGTGGATGTTTGGTTTAGTGTTTCAGAAGGATGAGAAGGATGGACAGGCTTGTATTGGATATGTGGATTCAGATTATGCTGGAGATCTTGACAAACGTCGGTCTACGTCAGGTTATGCTTTTACATTGGCAGGTGCACCTGTATGTTGGCGTTGCACGCTTCAGTCCACAGTGGCTCTCTCTACTACAGAGGCAGAGTATATGGCAGTTACTGAATCTATTAAGGAGGCTTTATGGTTGCGTGGATTATTGGAGAACTTGGGGATTGTTCAGAAGACTATTCGGATATATTGTGATAGTATGTCGGCTATCTATTTGGCGAAGAACCAGGTTTATCATGCGCGCACGAAGCACATCGACGTCAGATTCCACTTTGTATGGGACGTCTTGGATGATGGAGATGTCATATTGGAGAAGGTCCACACAAATGACAACCCTGCAGATATGTTGACCAAAGTTGTTTCAGGAGTGAAATTTGGTCATTGTTTGAAGTTGTTGAACATCCTTCAGTGCTGAGGCCGTTGGCGGCCATTTGGGTGAACTACGTTCGGCTTGATTCCTTGGGCAAGAGGATACGTAGGCAGTCTTGTAGATGCAGCCGGTTTGAGATTGATTGGGGGGAGATCGCGTTTCAGCTCGAGTATTGTTCCTGGACTTGTTGAGGAACTATTGGATGTTTTGGTGTCGGCTCAGTTTTGGTGGAAACATTCGCCGAGGTGGAGAATTGAAGAAATTACAGAAACTCAGAAGAATCAGGCAAACCAGGCGGCGGTCGACCGGTCCGGTCGACCGCATTCGTGCACAAAGCTTACTGTGCGACAGAAAGGAGGTCGGTCGACCGGGCCAGTC